TCTAATACCTTTTTCGATACAAAATACTACTTCTTAAGAAGGCGAAGGTTCATCGACTGTATCCAAATGATATTAAAGGTCCTTGGTTGACAACTTGCATTGTATTATGCATTTAGTATATGAGAGAGAGAGAGAGAGAGAGAGAGAGAGAGAGAGAGAGAGAGAGAGAGAGAGAGAGAGAGAGAGAGAGAGAGAGAGAGAGAGAGAGAGAGAGAGAGAGAGAGAGAGAGAGAGAGAGAGAGAGAGAGAGAGAGAGATTGTACCTAATAATGAAGAATACAAGTTCATAAAGTGATATTTAAGGAAGTGAAATATTACATTTAAACTCCCTTATCTAATAAAGATAATGGCAACATTATTGTGTATTTAGACAGGACATGTATTATAAAGTCGATGTAGATATTGGGTGTATTTAGATAATATCTGACAAAGGAAACCGTATGTATTTATGTATGTATGTATGTATGTATGTATGTATGTATGTATGTATGTATGTATGTATGTATGTATGTATGTATGTATGTATGTATGTATGTATGTATGTATGTATGTATGTATGTATGTATGTATGTATGTATGTATGTATGTATGTATGTATGTATTTAATGCATGCATATATTTTTTATAAATATGTCATCTGGTATAGATTTAGAGTGTTACTCGAACTGGATTTATAAACTTGACTCATTTTGATGAAGCCATTGTGTGTTTGAAGGAAAAATGGAAACCTCTAAATTATTCAGTGTGGTCATTTATGTCATATAAAAATATCGACTTAATGTGATCAAAGGTTAGTGTCAGATTTAACTTAAATGTGTTATGTCAAACTATTCACTGCATACCCTATGTGCGTCTTCGGTAGTTTCCGTGACTTGAGTCCGTGTGACGTTACTACGATAACCAGCATTGTGAATCACCAAGGTTCTACCGACGTAGAATATGCTGCTTCTGGCAATTGTTTTCTGATTGCATGCATTGGTCAGTGTGGGAAGAATATGTGAATCTCATGAAAAATAGAATAGCATAAATAGTGGTTTTGTTTTTGCTTAACCGTCAAATGAACGTACAATGTCACAAAATTGGCGTGTGTGTGTGTTTGTGTGTGTGTGTGTGTGTGTGAGAGAGAGAGAGAGAGAGAGAGAGAGAGAGAGAGAGAGAGAGAGAGAGAGAGAGAGAGAGAGAGAGAGAGAGAGAGAGAGAGAGAGAGAGAGAGAGAGAGAGAGAGAGAGTAGTTGCTGTAAGCTGTTCTGAACAATACCAAGTTATAGTGAAAAGTGAATTTTCAATATTTTTAATTAACGATGTTTTGGGAAAATATGTATAAAATAAACCGTGAGAATATTAAATAGAGGGAATGAAGAAACTAGCGAAAGAGAATGATTTAAGCTTGAACTAGTGATTGGTTGGATTTTCAGCAGCGCGCGTGTGTATGTGTGTGACCTTGCAAGGCTGGAAATACGTGGATGGTGTTTACGGTGCTCAGAAAAATAGGAAACAAATAGAAAATATAGCAAGAAAAGACAGTTCCATCAGGTTCTTTGTATTTATAGAATTAAAGATAATTGGTAATAAGCCTTATGGAATATATACTGTTTTACATTACCGGCCATTTTCTGTATTGACACTATCCCTTCCGTCCCAGCACAGAGCTGGTAAGGTCATGAAGTGACACCGTGTTTTTCTAAAGTTAACCTTTTCATGTTTTCCGTTTTCTATCCCATTATATTTTGATTTGGTGTTTTAATTTTGTCAGGGTTATTTTTTTTTACTTTGTTTTCCAAATTCTTTATTTATCAAGTTGTCCGTTGTTGTCAGTTCGGCTTTCCTCCTTGCTCACTACTTGTGCCGTTGTATGCCTGTGTTCGAGCTTCTCTAACTAAACTTAGGATTGTACTTTCGACCCCGGGAGCTATTTGCTCTGGAGTCGATTTCTATTCCTTTAAATGTTTATATAACTTCAAGTGACTCTTCCCGAGTCTCCCCTGTTCTATGTCGTCCATGTTGTTGTCTTGTATTTGTTGTTGGTGCAAGTATTCTTGTAGGACGGCACTAAGTCATATTTATGAGTTTTCCTTAATTTTGCGTTCTTAGAATTTTTTTGTTATTGTGTGCTTGTTGTGCTTTTTTTTGAGGTTGTACTGTTGTTGTGTGCGGTTGTTTAAATTTTTATTTAAATGGCACCTTAGCCTTATTTTGGGTTCGGATTGGGGTTTATGTTATTTGGGTTAGGCCATCATATCGACAGGGAATATTTATTTCTTTTCCACTTTGATTTTATTTGCAAGGCCCATTGCCGTCTCGGACAGTTTCTTTTTGGGTATACTTTGTTGTTGGACCTGGGTATTCCGCTTGTGTTCCGTGGTGAAGTTCCTTGATGTTTTACGGAAGATCTTTGGTTTTCAATTCGTGAGAGTTGTATCATATTGTCACAAGGTAGAGTAAAGAGATTTGAGAGATGTGTTTGTTTGCTGTTATCAATGTGAATTTCGGTAAACAGTTTGTTGCTTTTATATTTTTTGTCTTTGTGTCACCTTTATGTGTAGGCTTTCCACATTGGCTGTTTACGTTTTGATTATTTGTTTTATTTTGTTGTGTAATACATTTGCATTATCTTTAGGTGCCCGTTTTATAATGCTTTTTGTAAGGGTAGTCTTTTTAAAAAATATAACCATCGTTTTTTTATATTTTGTACTTTGCCTTTGTGTCCCCTTTGGTTGATTATACTTGTAGGCTTACCACATTGGCTATTTGTTTTTATGTTTAATTGTATTTGTCTTTTACATATGCTTCTTCTTTAGGTGCCTGATTTATTAGGCTAGTTGCAAAGGTAATTTTGGATTTGTTTAATATATTTCCGGCTCCTAGATGATGGGTGAAACATCTAGTTGAGGTTCCTATGCGCAGTGTTGAACCCTCGGCTCTGCCAATCTTTATAGAGTTCTGGAAAGAGCCAACGCGCTTTGCCAATGTAACTATCAGACATTTGCATCTCCAAATGCCTTGGCGCCTAGTGCACAGAGAGACATTGATAGGAATTTTAGGAACATTTGCTGCATGATGCCTCGTTTGGCAGTGCGGAGGCAAATAGCCGTAACAGACATAGAATATGTGAACAACGTGTTATGTACATTTAATTTATACTGTGTGTTGGTCGTTGTCCACGAACACATATTAAGTATATTTTATTTGTATTGTGTAATTGACACTTGTCCGTGAATAAGAGTAGAAGTTGGGCCGACCTGACCAATGTCTATTTTATAAACATATTACATAGCTAATTCTTTTCTATTATTTTAGATTATATATTAAGATTATTATTATTTGGAGGTAAACATGTTTGGATTTGTTGGATTCAAGTTCTATGTTTTATTAAAAAAAATAATAATGTTATAGAAGCAAATTGTTTACGAATTTGAAGGGAAAATAACCCACAGCTTGGTTCAGTTATAGTGTTAGCATTATATATAAATGGTGTTTTCTTCAAAATTACCCATTCCTTATCATACCATCAATCTTAATGGAATCAGTTTAAGTTTGGTTTCAGTTAATTTTTGAGAGGATTTATTTACTTATATTATTCAGTAGAATTATGTCAGATTTTTGTCTTCCATCAATAGATTTTCCGTTTGCAAACATATTTCTTACAATTGTCTTCTGTTTAGAATCACCTGTCATTTCATAGATATTATTTTAAAGGTATTATCTGAATTTTTTAAAATAAAAAATGAAATGAAATGTTTCTCTTGCATAAGAAAGTTTGCAGAAGAGATAAGTAGTTTTTCAAAGCACGGAATAAACAACATACCAGCATGACGTGTCTTAATCATTTAAGTCTACATACAGATGATTCATTGCTTTGCAGTGAGTGGACAAGTGTGTACATACAGATGATTCATTGCTTTGCAGTGAGTGGACAAGTGTGTACATACAGATGATTCATTGCTTTGCAGTGAGTGGACAAGTGTGTACATACAGATGATTCATTGCTTTGCAGTGAGTGGACAAGAGTGTACATACAGATGATTCATTGCTTTGCAGTGAGTGGACAAGAGTGTACATACAGATGATTCATTGCTTTGCAGTGAGTGGACAAGTGTGTACATAAAGATGATTAATTGCTTTGCAGTGAGTGGACAAATGTGTACATACAGATGATTCATTGCTTTGCAGTGAGTGGACAAGTTTTTAGCATAAAACTGCATTATTGCCTCCTTACCAAACTATATATGTATGTATGTATGTATGTATGTATGTATGTATGTATGTATGTATGTATGTATGTATGTATGTATGTATGTATGTATGTATGTATGTATGTATGTATGTATGTATGTTTGTATGTATGTATGTATGTATGTATGTATGTATGTATGTATGTATGTATGTATGTATGTATGTATGTATGTATGTATGTATGTATGTATGTATGTATGTATGTATGTATGTATGTATGTATGTATGTATGTATGTATGAATGCATGCACTTATAAGTACACATACACCATCGTGCAGACACATAAGAGTGTGTGTACTTATTACATATGAAAAATGATACACGGAGGGAGGATACATGTATATTTGCGCATACTTTTGTATTTAATAATGTTCATGTTTGGTTTGCATGCATTGGAAATTGCAACACTATATGATATAAAGAAAGAGACCGACTGTGTGGCTAGGTAGTGATAGATACAAAGAGAGCCAGATTGAGTGACTATATAGCGATATAAAGAGAGATTGAGTAGTGACACAAATAGTGTGTGTGTGTGATTTGGATTTTTAACGTAGCTTTAATAATTTTTCAGTCATATCGCTACGATGTCTACATTGTGGCAGTTTATAGTGATGTCAGGCATTAGCGCATCATGCCGCAAATATGTAGCATAACGTCCCATCATGTCATATTTTCCTGACACAAGGCGACCAGTCCTAACACTAACCTTTTAATGCCGAGCGCCAAGCGAGGCAGCTATCAGTACCATTTTTATAAGTATTTGGAATGACCCAGCCGGAGCTCGAACCCGCGAACTCCCGTATCCTAGACAGACGCTCTAACAACTTAGGCCACCGGAGCGGTCGTGATAGAAAAGTGACAGACTGGTTTCCTAGGTACCTGGTTGGCAAATCAGAAGATAGGTAGTTAGAAAGTTGGAGAGCCTCTTGGCAGTTATTTACCATCTAGTATGATGGACTGGCAGAACGTATCGTTGATGTTGCATCTGTACAGGATACCATAACGATTAATAAATGGCAGTGTCATATCACTTTCTCGAGGGATTCCCACAAAAATCTTTTATAAAGAGAATCGAGGACCGGCATTGAAACAAATGATCATATGTTCTTGTCTGTCATTGATTGTATGGAATCATAATGTAGGAAAAACATTAATTCTTTTAACAGAAATTATCAAAAAGACGTTATGGTATATCATTTTGAGTGCATTAGAAGAATGTGATTTCTGTTGGAAATGTAGTCGAAATTATAGTACAATTGTGCGGTGTGTATCAAGTTTGAAACCATGATGTGGGTGGTGTCATTCGGATTTGCAGAACTAAGACAGTACATTTAGAGGAAATTTAAGAAGCAAAAATGTAACTATATTTATTGCCATTCTTATGACCAGCTAAAGAAAACATTTCTCTGCCGTCACTTGCATGCTCTTAGTGGAAGGGACCACAGCTAGATGCATGACCTGTATGGCATCTGTCGCTAGCCTACTATAGACCTAAATCCAAAACATTGTAACAAAAAAGCTACAAGGGTAAAATTGCAAAGTATTTACTGTGTGACGGTCCATTTAATCAGCCGAAATAAGACTTCGTCTTCTTGGATTATTGGCTCTAAGGCTCTTCGTATTCTATAAAAACTTTCAGTTTCATTCTTTTATCTAATTGTGAGCTTTTACTGACTTACAAAATGGTACGTTTCTGAAAGATATGCGATAACCCTTAGCCTTGGCCTCAATATGCAAACAAACAAGTTTTGTAAAACTTAATAAACAATTTAATTATCAAAGTTATAGATGAAAATGTGAGAGGAACTGAATCCAATCTTGTCCCTATAAGGGTATATGAAAGACCTAAGCGATTGAACAGTTCCTGATAAATTTCAAAACTGAAAATGTACTGGTTCTCCAAGAACCATCACTTTGTCAAGATGCCGTTGTCCAGAATTCATTCAAATAAGTTATAACAGTTCCAGAATATTGTTATAGTCCAAGATAATGAGCACTTTCTGTTTCTACTAAACAGTCCAAACAAATATTTACCTCTCGAATAATATCGAAGTACAACATTAAAGACGTCCGCAGACTTACAGAAGGAACACAAGAAATTGTTCTGTTCTCCAGATACACCGTCTATTGCTACTGCATTTCACAAAAGACTACTTGTTACGGATCACACTTCTTATTTTGCGTCACATAACATTAATAGACGATACTATATTTAGGCATACGTGATGTATGAAAGCTTGCAGTATGTAAAAAATACTGCACAATTCTGACAATGGAGACAAATATGATCATATAATAATGGTTAATTCTGAAACAAATGTGATATCATCAGAAAATAATTTCTTTTCATAAATATGAGTTAAAAATATGGATTTATCAACTAATAAAAATTACCCCAAATCACAATTTTTTTTAAAAGCGGAATTGTCATTAATCCCAATGCGCAGCAGAATTTTTAATCAAACTAATTGTATTACGAGGTCAAATATTTAAAAGGGAGTTTGCATGAAAAAAATATAGATTAAATTCAAATTTAGTTAATGTCTTAAACTTTCTTTTGCGTCATTGATGCAGGCAAATCTTCCACCACTGTCGAATGAAATCATACCACGAAAGTTCTCGACTCATCGAAAAATTATTTTACGAGGACTCACTGTGGCGTTAAGAAACATAAAACAACTGTGCAAGCTTACGCACTCAATGCCATCAACATACTTTTGTACGCGATTATGGATCTCATATTTCTATGAGCAGTTCGTCTTGTCATTATGTTTGTCATTTGTCGTTGATTATGTTTGAGATTTTGCTTATATCAGTTGTTATTTACCAAAAGTATTACAATCCTACATATATCTAATGATAGTATGTCCATGATGCAATAGTCCCAGAATAATGTTTTAATCCAATAAACACCGTCTAGTTCCAATGAATAATCGAAACAAATGTCTTGTCTTAAATTATATCTGAAAAACAACATTAAACACATCTGCAGACTGCTACTAACACAAGAACATATGAATTAAAAAGCCGAAATAGGAATGAATCAATTAATCAATTCTCTCCATATATATATATATATATATATATATATATATATATATATATATATATATATATATATATATATATATATATATATATATATATATATATATATACTTCGATGAGTCTGTGACGACTATGTATTGCAATTTACTCCACGTCACAAACCTTATTACTTAAAATATACTACCATGTACGGAAAGTTACACAAATTACATAAATGTAGAACACTATTTCATTTCTATACGGAGAGGGAAACAGTTCAATATTTTAACAATTATTGGTGTCATATATAATATAAATAGGGATACTAATGCCATTGACGAGCATAGATGTAACTATCTGATTTTACGTTGTAAGTTTTATTCAGCACTAATTCAGGGAAATTTGGTTGGATAGATTGTGCTGGACATACAAGAACTAGTAGTCTGGCGGACAGGGGAATAAACATCTGGGGTGATATCAAACGGAAGTGATGGCAAGATGGCGTTTGCATCGCTGTTACTAAGGAAGCCAGGATATGGTATACATATTGTCTTCGTTTCTCTTTTCGCACTTTTCAAGTTGAAGAGTGATGGTGCACTCAAGCCTAGGAAGATGCAATTTCTTTCTTTTAAGATGCATATCTAGGTATAAGAGATGCCGCCGTCGCGCAGTTTACACCAACGTGTAATCCCACATGAGACAGTACGAGAAATTGTAGCAGTGTTCTGATTTTGTTTCATCAACAATATATCCAGTTGATGTTTCCCTCTGAGGTGAACGTAAATCTCGGGATATTAATAAACGTTGGGGCATTGGATGTAATGTGTGTGCCAGCTCCGTAAGGCCTCGGAAGTATGAATCCTAATATGGAAGATCGAGTGGGGAAAAGGCTGATGTTCTTGGTCAGTAAATGTGATGTTGACCAGCCCTCGCGCAGCTTCGCTTGTTTGCAGTTATAACAGGAGTAGCAGGCAGCACTACATTTTTGAACGTATTAATATTTTAATACCCATTCTGAATGCTGACTAGTTCCATTCCTAATTCCGCTGCACATCTGTTCTTACCAAGCGCAGCTGAAACATTGTACCATCCTGGGCTGAAGGAATTACTATTTAGGTACCAGGATAAGTGTGTAACGTATGTTCTAGAGTTATCGGTCCTACAAGATGATTGGTCTCCACAATATTCATTGTCAGAACCAGCACAAGTGCGGAAGCGATGTTGTTACCTCAAGAACTTCGTTTGAATAGCCACACGAAATACAGTGTTTGCATCTTCTACATAGCCTTTATTCACATTAGTATTTTGGGACAAAGTAGCAGATGTATTTATTTTATTACCAAAATTATATACACATTTAACATACAATTTAAATAATTGGTAAGTATTTAATATTGTAATTCACACATGCAACAGTAACAAAATAAACACAAACTGATAATAAAATATATAATAGTCTATCGCGATACTCGTCACGTCACCTTTTGACCTTGACTTTTAATCTAGGTTCTTGAGTACTTGTACATTAAGGTGTGGACCTGTGTAAAGTTTGATAAAAAAATAACTGTAGGGATTAAAGAGATAAGTCCTTGATAGGAAAACAGGTCATAGAATTACAATATTCATTACTGTAACCGTGAACTCATGGCACGAAGTATGAATACACGAGGCCCTCTCAAACTGTGATATATAAGAAACCAACATTTCAATGAAATATCTCGGATCCACAAATGATACCCGTGCATGGATGTAGGACACTAATTTGTATTTTCCATCGCCTTGACATTGACCATGAACTTAAGGATGGAGAATGACTGGCTAAAATTTCAAATTTCGTTAATATGTATTCGCTGGTTTAAAGTTATCATCTAAAAATGAGTCATGTAATAATATTTTCCACTAACACTACCTTGATCTTGAGGTTGGGACCTGTGAATGGTGCACACCGTCCATGAGCGTCTAAAGTTAACACAAATTATTTTCAGTGCCTCAAACGGGATCCTTTACAAGGATAAGTACCACAGAATCATATTTTCCCTTGGAATGAACTTAGACGAATGGGATGGTGGTGACTATAGTAAGAGACACATCCAATTGTCAGGATATATACCTAGGCAATGTGCAATAAAAATCTCTCCAACTGATATACAGTTATGAGCCAGAAAAGACGAACAAGGACGGACAGACGCACGGACACAGTGTACAAGATTTAAGAAAATCCTATACAAATATTAGTTATGTTCGTCGCGGGATTTTCTGTAACCGGTAAGTTCTAGATTTCCATTTACACAATTCTAGCATTGCATGTCTTTGTTTACTTAAAGAAACACAGGTAAACGACATTTCTAAGCAACTCTTAAAAAATACAAAATACACGTTATTAACAGTCTGCTTTCATACATCTATTAATGTCCGTTGGTTTAAAAATGAAAAGGAATAAAATATATTGAAACAACGTGGAGAACAATATTATATTTGCAGCTTTAGTCACTGCATAAGCTACACACACACACACACACACACACACACACACACACACACAAACACACACACACACACACACACACATATATATATATATATATATATATATATATATATATATATATATATATATATATATATATATATATATATATATATATATATATATATATATATATATATATATATATATATATATATATATATAACAGATATAATACATGAATCCCAAAAGGGAAAAAATGTTGCCAAAAAATGTTGCCAAAAAATTTGGCAGCTCGACTAGAAAGAAATAATATAACTACCGATGGACAGACACATACATTGTGTCGC